CGGATAAAGTCGTCAATAACGACTTTATTATTTCATCTATTAACTTTTTATTTGAATGTTCCACCACTTCTGTGGTATTTGTAGGATTTGGCATGGTAGAAGAGTTAGTGGTGGAGCCTTGTATTTTATTTGGTGTTAAGGGCATTTTAGGGGTAGACAGTTTCGGGAATTTAATTTGATAATTACTCATAGTCATATTACTTTTTTATCGTTCTCTTTTGAATAATTTACTTTATTAATTAAGAAAGTTTGCTTCGTTTACTTTATTTTTCTTTTGGTCATTGACTGTTTTTTTAATAGGACAGTCACGTGAAATAGAGAGATGAGAACCTTGACAGTTTGAACATTTAACGACTTTGTTATTTGGACATCGTGTGTATACAGAGGCGTATTATCCCTAAGGCAAAGTAGGCACGTGCCTAGGGGCACGAGATTACAAAGAGGCGCGCGCGCGGAAGTTTATGAACAAAGAAAAATATAACAAAATTAATTGTCTTTAAATAATAGAAGATTCTTCAACTCTATAGAGATGTAGAGCTCCGCTTTCTTGATTATTCGCCTGATTTTGTAATAGAAATTGGTATATACAACTGCAATGTTACACGTTCGTCACGTCGAACGCTAGCTAGTATCGGATGTTGCTACTTGCTAGATTGCGGCGCGAGGTGCGGCGCGGAGGGAGGCGGGGGTCGGGAGCTAGCGGCTAACGCCATTGACGGACATTTGCATTGGCTAAGACGTCGTGTCGCGCGCTTTTATTGTTTACGTTCTCTCAGCGGTATTTGTGTGTATTTAATTAGCTAGTGCATTACGTTTATACATACGTTTAGTTTATTGCTAAAAAGAATGAGTGAGTTGAAGAAAAAACCTAGTGGTGCAGCATATAAAAGGAAGGCTATGGAAAAAGAAGAAAAACATCAAAATGTAATAAAGCATACGAAACCTATTGAAAATTTATTTTTCAAAACTAAAAAGTGATGACGTGCAATCTTCTAACGCAATTTACCATGCGTCTGCTACTGAGCCTATTCAATGCGAAATTCCTACTAGTTCTAAACAACCACAAGATTTGGTCAGCGCCTACGCCGCCTACTCCGCCAGCAGTAGAAGTTGAGAGGCAGTTGCAAAATAAACTGGTCATCATGGATTGTGACCCGGTCAATTGGAATATCAATAACGAATCACAAGAATATATTGCACTGAATGGCTTTAATCAAAATATAAACGCAGATTTTTCATTGAGTAAGAGAACATATGAAGATAAAATCTCTCGTTTTTTGACAAAAACAATGTTTGAACGAAAGTTATTAAATAGAAAAAAACGTCCAAGGAAATGGCTTATTTACTCTCCAAGCGCAGGAAAAGTTTATTGTGGACCTTGTTTATTATTCGGTAGTGGAACTAGTTTTGGAAAACAAGATGTTGGTTTTAATGATTGGAAGAACGCATTGAATAGATTAGAAAGCCATGAAAACTCATGTGAACATAAAACATGTGTTATGACATTGCAACGTAGATCTAACATTGTCGGTCGTGTCGATCATGAGATTGCCGCTCAATTTCTAGAAGAGTTTACGTATTGGCGTGAAGTTTTGAAACGAGTGGTTGCGACTGTAATCTTTAGCATCGCGTGGGTTATCTTTTAGGGGACATGACGAAAAACTTGGCTCTCTTCATAACGGAAATTATTTAATGACGCTCGAACTCAAAGCGGAGTTTGATCCGTTTTTAAGTAAACATATCACTCAATATGGCGGCAAAGGAAAGGGATGTACCAAATACTTAAGTTCTACAATATGTGACGAATTCATTGAATTGATGGCAAATAAAATTTTAACACAAATAAAAGATGAAATCAAGTTACCGAAATATTATTCAATAATAGTGGATTCAAAACCAGATATTTCCCACATTGATCAATTAACTTTCGTGATCCGATATATTCACGCCGATGAACGCTTTCTTAAGTTTATCGAAAATGTCGGTCACAAATCACGAGACATAACAGATGCTGTTATTAAAACAATAAACATGTTAGAAATTAATATATTAGACTGTAGAAGTCAGTCGCATGATAATGCTGCAAATATGTCGGGCATTTACAATGGCTTACAAGCAAAAATAAAAGAACTATGTCCCCTAGCGGAATATATACCCTGTTCCGCACATTCACTTAACCTAGTGGGTGAATGTGCCGCTGAATGCGCTCAAGAGGCTTGTTGGTTTTTTGGTTGCCTTCAAGAAATATATTCATTTTTTACAGCTTCAACTCAAAGATCGGAAACTTTACAAGCACAAATACTCCTAGGTAATAATAAAAAAAAACAAAACTATTGTCAAAAATCCGTCTAACATCACGCTGGTCTGTCCGAGCAGATGCTTATAAAAGTCTGAAAGAGTCATTTTCAGAAATTCGCGATGCTTTGATTGCTATTGAGAAAAGTCCTGAGCAAAAACGTTCTATTGTATGTGAGGCTAAAGGTATAAGATTGAAATTAGAAAGACCAGAAACTGCTTTCATGACTGTGTTTTGGGATTTTATTATGGTTCACATAAACAAAACTAACAAAAAACTACAGTCCGTTGATATTGACATTTGTGCAGTTATTCAAATGTATGACAATTCTAATTCTGCCTAATTCAAATAATTTCTGCAGAAAGGGAAATTTTTTATAAATATGAACAACAAGCCTTGGAACTCTCATTAGTCAAAGAATATGAAAAGGATACAAAGCGGATACGGAAGAGAAAGCTCACAGCAGATGAATCTGCCGATGATATTACTTTTTCATTATCTGGTCGGGAAACATTCAGAGTGGCAGTATATCTAGTAATTATAGACAGGCTTGTGGTTGAACTACAAAAGAGACGAGAAGCGTACAGCAATTTCTACAGTAAATTTTCGTTTTTAAGCAATTGATTAATTTAAACAATGAAGAAGTTAAAAATAAAGCAAATATATTAGTAACGATGTATTCTGGTGATTTAGAAAAGTGCTTTGTTGATAAATGTATCCATTTACATTCTTATTTAATTACGATGGCTCGAGACGGAGAACTGCCCCGTACAACTAACGCGATTTTACAGATTATAAGAAACAGAGAACTCGAAACAATTTACCCAAACGTTGATATAGCGTTAAGAATGTGCGTATCGACGGCAGTCAGCAACTGCAGTGGTGAGAGGAATTTTTCTTGCCTGAAGAGAGTGAAAAAATATCTTCGCTGCATGGTGCAGCGAAGACATAAAAGAGATTAAATTCGTTAGCTATACTCAATATTGAATCCAAGTTATTGCTAACTTTAAACTATGATGATGTTATTGACAATTTCGCATGACAAAAATGTAGACGCAGAAATTTTAAAAAAAGTTTTTTACAATTATTATCTTATTACGTACTGAGTAGGTACGAATTTTTTAATAAATAATTTATACCTTTATTTTTTATTAATCAAATATTATGTCAAAACACATACACAGTCAGATGTGGTTCCAGAGGGGCATCATGGATTTCCATGTTCCTTCTTCTTGCTTTCTTCACTCTCATCACATATTTCATTCATGCTTAAGTAGGTACACGTGTCCTGGCCTACCTAGTTATCTCTAGTAGAGGCGCCAACGAGGTGTTTGCCTAGGGTGCTCTCTACATTTAATCCGCCTCTGTGTGTATAGCCTGATACAAATACGAGAAAAACGGAAATAATTCGATATAAGCCTGGAATATTTTTAATCAAGTTTGTGAGCCAATTACAAGAGACTATATTTAAGAATCCATCTCATTTTAGCTACGGAAGGTATAAAAAAAAACATCAAGTCAAAAAACCTTCATTTCCTTCACGCAAAATTACTAACACGACTTTTTTCACAAATTTTGGTTTTATTTACCGACAATGAAAATTACTGAAATCCAACTAAAAAATTTACAGGAAATACTGATTTTTATTAAACTTTATTTTTTTTTGTTCTAGTCATATTATAATCATGAAAGAAAAAATATAAGTTATGTAATAAGTGTTTTGTATTAGGACAATAACATCGATCGCGAATTATATTGTATCTAACCAATAACCTTTTCGGTAGTTGGGTTTCAAGATCAACCCTGTTTTTAAGCACAGGCAAAATAATAACAGAGGATATTGATAGCAGACTTTAAAAAAAATATCGAATTATAAGCACTGGTATCCTAATCCAACACAATTTTAAGCAAATAATAGAAAATTCGAAAAACATGCAATAGCGTGTAAGCTAGTTTAATCCATAAGATTATCGCTATACGGCCTAGTATTGATTGGCTTGTCATATATAAATAAATAAAAATGGCTCGTGGTGTGCGCGTTTGAGGCTCGAGCGATGTATCCATTACCTATTTATATATCTGTGTAATAAATAGGTACTTACTTGATAAATAATCAATTAGTTACAAAAATAATCTTTCTATTTGTTAAGTTCCTTACCTACATTGAGTAAAGTTGGACGGGACGTCACAGTTGATTGCAATCTATGTAGCTTTCAAAACAGGGCTGGATTTAGGCAAAATTATTTTTGTGTATTTTTATGTGTAGTAGTTGATTTAAATAAATTCGAAAAACAAACGGTTTCATTAAAAAATATTAAACAATTACCGTATTTGACAGTGAAAATGCCTACATTTTTATTCCAAAAAATATACTTGGAGAAAACATTTTGCCTTACAAAAGTAACTCAAGTGGGTCAGTTTTTTATTCAGATAAAGTCATAAATAAAAGAGGTATTTTGTTTTGTATTTGTTTTAATAGGACAGTCACGTGAAATAGAGAGATGAGAACCTTGACAGTTTGAACATTTAATGACTTTGTTATTTGGACATCGTGTGTATAGCCTGATACAAATACGAGAAAAACGGAAATAATTCGATATAAGCCTGGAATATTTTTAATCAAGTTTGTGAGCCAATTACAAGAGACTATATTTAAGAATCTATCTCATTTTAGCTACGGAAGGTATAAAAAAAAACATCAATCAAAAAACCTTCATTTATTCACGCAAAATTACTAACACGACTTTTTTCACAAATTTTGGTTTATTTACCGACAACGAAAATTACTGAAATCCAACTAAAAAATTTACAGGAAATACTGATTTTTATTAAACTTTATTTATTTTTTTGTTCTAGTCATATTATAATCATGAAAAAAAATATATAAGTTATGTAATAAGTGTTTTGTATTAGGACAATAACATCGATCGCGAATTATATTGTATCTAACCAAAAACTTTTTCGGTAGTTGGGTTTCAAGATCAACCCTGTTTTTAAGCACAAGCAAAATAATAACAGAGGATATTGATAGCAGACTTTAAAAAAAATATCGAATTATAAGCACTGGTATCCTAATCCAACACAATTTTAAGCAAATAATAGAAAATTCGAAAAACATGCAATAGCGTGTAAGCTAGTTTAATCCATAAGATTATCGCTATACGGCCTAATATTGATTGGCTTGTCATATATAAATAAATAAAAATGGCTCGTGGTGTGCGCGTTCGAGGCTCGAGTGATGTATCCATTACCTATTTATATATCTGTGTAATAAATAGGTACTTACTTGATAAATAATCAATTAGTTACAAAAATAATCTTTGTATTTGTTAAGTTCCTTACCTACATTGAGTAAAGTTGGACGGGACGTCACAGTTGATTGCAATCTACGTAGCTTTCAAAACAGGGCTGGATTTAGGCAAAATTATTTTTGTGTATTTTTATGTGTCATAGTTGATTTAAATTTAAATAAATTCGAAAAACAAACGGTTTCATTAAAAAATATTAAACTATTACCGTACATATACTTGGAGAAAACATTTTGCCTTACAAAAGTAACTTAAGTGGGTCAGTTTTTTATTCAGATAAAGTCATAAATAAAAGAGGTATTTTGTTTTGTATTTGTTTTAATAAAAACTTTTCTTAGAATTGGAAAATAGAAATCACTAATCATCAGCCTAAGAAAATTAATAGAAAAGGGGGTATCAACCCGAAATAGGAGTTATTTTTAAGATCGTACTTCACAACTTTTCACAAGAAACGTGGATTGGAATATGAAATAAAAAATTGGCCTTCCCACAGTAAATTGATCAGCTGATCGGCAGTTTTGTATAAGATGGCAAATTTCTTTTACATATTCCGAGCTATATTTCTTTGGAAAATTTGTGTTGTTGTTGTGTTGGTGCCCTCTTTCTGTTACGCCCTGTATACTTTTTAAATCTAAATGTATTATGCGTAAAAAGGTATATTATTAATAGGACCCATAAAGTAAGTAGAACTAGCTCGACGAAATAAATAGAACAAGTGCAGTCTCAAATTCAGTCTAAGTATTACATACTAATTAACTTATTACAAGTTAAATAATTGTTAATAATACAAGATGATAGGTAAATTTAAATTATGACAGCCCTTTGAAGACAAACTTTATTTATTAATCTTGATCTCAGGTTACCAAATCTATGCTCTACTGGCAAACTTTGACTCAACGCAATATAATGATATTTTTATAATACAAAGAATATACGTCCTGTGTTTAATATTCGCAGAGACAAATTATACAGATTAAAGTTTTATTATGATGTTATTGACAAATTGTTATTCTTCTTCTTCTTCTAGAGTTTCTCTCTCACTTGCTACGTACTCATTAAATACATCATCAGTTTCGGATGTAATGATTTCGTCTGCGTCTTCATCATCCGATGAGTCAATATTATAGTTATTATTATTTAATGTTCCATGACAATCTCTTCCTACGCAGTAAGTGCACAAATCTGTACATTGCATACCACATTTTTTACAGGTGCAATTTCGACAGCAAGATACTTTACACCGACAAGATATAGTTTGTAGTATGTGAGCAGGAACTGCATTCAATGTTTTTTGTACAGGAGTAAGCATGTCTCCTTGTATTTTCCAGCCCCAATGGGTGGGGTCTTTATAATTGTTAAGCCATTTTTGAATCTGATAATAAACTCTGTAAGTGTGGTGTTTTGCATCATCTGCAGTGGGTGGAAGATTAGCCATATTAAAAGCACTCTTCAATGTTGCTTGCGCAAATCGTTCATATCTCAAAATGTTCAAGGTTTTTGAAGGATCACCATAAAGTGTGCACATAAATTTTTCACCAGTATCAGTTAAAGCCGAAGCATCTGCTTCGGGATCCTTGAAAATTTTGAGCAATTGTTTCAACTCGATATCTTTTCTCAATATGGAAAAACGTTTTTTCTTTCCTATGCGGTACAGAGCGGATGTTGTATCGCACCCGGAAAAAGCATGAAGAAAGAGAATGTGCTCTTTAACAGATGGTTCCAATAAACTGTTTGTGTTATAATATTTGGTTGGAATTTTATTTCTTCCAGGTTTCATCAAATATACGTTAGGGTTTGGATACGCCATCAAAATAACTAAAAGATCGACATCTTCCCCAACGATTAACACAGTTTCGTGCGAAGCAGTTTTCTGAATAGCTGTAGTGACAATTAATGTATCAGCGTCATCATCACTTTGATATGTATTTATTCCAGCTTGTTCAAATCTGCTTTTTAACATTGTTATTAGACGTTCCTTGTTTTTTTCATTACTTAAGAAACTATCTTGAGTCACGGTAGCTGTAGTGTTTTCATCAAAAAGAATTTCAACAAATTTTTTGCCCTGTGTTCTTCGAGCTCTTTCAGCGTTTTTAATGTTCATTTCTATATTTCCATAGCCATCAAATACAACAATAGATGTAATGCCAAATGTTTTTGTGACATAATGAACATACCTATCACATATGCTCCTAAAAGACATACCTTTTTGCCATATAACCTTATGCAATAAGTATCCACCATCAATTACATAGCATTTATCATTAGTATTTGGAATACTTTGGAAAGACTCAAATAAGTCATACAGCGACGATTTCTTCGTTTTTCTCATACCAGAAGCATCAAAGAGAGATAGTGGGTATGGCGTCAATTCAAATTCAAAACAAGTTTGCAGCTCTTGTTGTGATTGCTTACTAAATAAAATCCTCCTCATAATTAAATCGGAGTCAATTGCCACTTTTTCACCGTCACTTGTTTTTACAGAGGCAGTCATGTTTTGTAAAGTGATAACCCTCTGTTTTCTTGAAAACCTAATATCATTATAATTACATCCAACTTTGGCTAACATCATGTCTCTTCCAATGTCACGAGCTTTATGACAATTAATTTCATTATGTCCAACTATACCTTTGCTGATGCACACAATTTTATCCGTAATACGGAATGGGTCATGTGTTTTGAGCCATTGAAAAAGCTTAGCAATATCAGTTCTGTCACGCTTGATCCTGGCACGTCCGGAATCCATGTGCTGCTCGCAAGATTTTGCTTCTACTTTGCAATACATTTCGACTTTTTCTGAGACTTTTTGCACCACAGGCAGGCTTAATATCCACCTTGAAAGAATATTTTCACTTACTCCTCTTCCACGAGTCAGACCACCTGTACTTTTCATGGAACGCATAAGAGTCTGCTCGATAGTCATATCGGACCATACACCGGACCAAAATTTGTCCGTACGACGGATAGTAAATAAGCCTTTGGTGAATCTATCATATTCTTCTGTGGGCATGACATTCTGAAGATTGTACATGTCATCCAAATACATAGATATGCACTTTGCATAATTAAAATGCCCAGTTGAGTAAAAGAAAGGCAACATAATTTTTACAGTCTCCAAATGTAAATTCCAATTCCCACTGCGTTCAGCCTCAATGAATTTTTTCATCAAAGTGGTCATTTCAAAATATTGCAACCATAGTTGAGCAGTTGGTCCATGTGTTCGAAAAACTGTTAAAGCCTCCGCTAATTTGTTTTGCAATAACTGGTAAGCATGACAAGTTACATCTATTTGTTTGTTATCAATTGCATTTTCAATGTCGATCTTTTCCTCCAATGAAAGATGAATATCATCACTCATTAATTTAAAAAGTGCTGCATTAGTCAACATATGAGCTCTAACAGCCCTGGCATAAGAATGACCCATTAGCATTTTATCTATGGAATTAGTGGCATACACACAGCTCCAAAGTTCTTTAATGCCGCTTTCTTTCATTATAAAGCCTATCGCACCTAAAAAGGACATTAACATATGAAACCCCCCAAGTCTTACCACAACATTTTTTAAAGCATCATCTTTTGAAGAATGCAGAATCTCTTGCGATTTATAGTAGAGGGGTTGGTCAAAAGTAACAATACAAGTTTGCATGCCAATATTGCGAGAGTTTTCTGCTGCTACTTTTAGTGAAGTGTAGATAGTATTATAATCTGAAGAAGGAGCATTGATAAAGGGAAGAAATTCTACATCAGATACGCAAAAATCTGTTTTTTTTTGTAATATCTTCCATAAAACTGCTCCATCCAGGTATATTAGGAAATTCTTCTGATTTGCCATAAAGCCACAAACAATCTGCGAAAGTAGGTAGAATAGGATCATTACAATCATAATTTTGAATAGTTTTATTCTTAAGCTCCGAAGGCTCGTTTCTAAAAAAACAACTTACGGGCATCTGACCGTAATGAGCTGTGATAGCCGATGAAGGTATTTTAGTTACACGAACAATTTGTTGATCAGAATTCTCTGATTTTGGAGCAACACATCTTATGCCTCCCATGGCGTGGAAAGTATTTAAGCCATCTATTGTACGGACATTAAAATAACTAATAAGCTGGTAAGTTTCTTCCGCTTGTTCTTCTTGTCAGCTAAAAGACGTCCTGAATTAGTGATAGGGGAAAAAATTTTTTTTGGACGATTCAAAAGTGCTTGTAATAGCCTACTTGAATAAAGATATTTTCATTTCCTTTCATTTTATTTTATTGGGTTATGGACTGGGAATTCTAATTAAAGAATTGTTTTCTTGAATAATGTTATTTTATTTTCTTGCACAATTCTTTATACGGTAAGAACACAGGCCACGGACAAAAAGGTACAGTATAGCGCCACCTACAGTATTTCTTAGAACTAAAAACTTAATGTAGCCAGTGTTACATTTTCATAACTTAATACTCCCACAAAAATATAACACTCTTTAAACAATTAAATACCTACATTTAAGTAGGATAAAGAACAAACTATTCAATAGTAAACAAAATATCATCTCTTAAATTAGTAAAAGCCTGAGTTGGTAAAGCTTTAGTGAAAATATCTGCTAACTGACTCTTACTAGGAACATAATTAATTTTAATCAAGCCCAACTCAGCCTTCTCTCTTATAAAATTGTACTTTACGTCAATATGTTTGCTCCTTTTATGGTAGACCGGGTTATTTATTAGTTTGATTGCACTTTGATTGCAAACCTCATTTCAGTTAATAATAAATAAATAATAATATTTAAATTTTATTGACAATGTCACATGTTATTGTTTTTCAATTCAATAAAATGTCTTCGTAGATGAACATCTAAAGTGTTATTATTTTGGTTAAAACGAGGCATAGTTCCTACAAGTAATAAATCCAAAGACCTGCAGGAACGTGAATTCACCACATCTGGCGACCGTGCTAAGAAATTTTGAAAATAAAATATACTTTACTGGTAAAATGGAACGCCATATCGCAGAGCGAAGAGGTATGAGGAGACTTTTTACTAGATGTGCCAATCAATTAGAGCAATCATTAGAATCGTCCAACAAAACTGAAGTATCAGCTTTAATAAATAAATTAACAAAACACCATGACGATCTTCAGCGCATCCAGAATAGTCTAATGTCGTTAATGCTAGATGCAGAAGATCGTAATGATGATGAGATCGACAGTGAAATGGATGCGGCTGATGGTTATGAAAGTAAGTGGTATATTTTACATCAAAAAGCTACCGATTTTCTTGCTAAAACGTCATCGGAGCTATCCCTAGAGACAGTTAAAAGCATAGCAGAATCAAATAAGTCTGTAAATAATCGCATTCGCTTGCCGAAAATTGAATTACCTAAATTTGACGGCCATATAAAAAATTGGATTGGTTTTTGGGCACAATTTCGGAAAATACATGATAGTACAGACCTTAATAATGACGATAAAATGCATTATTTATTGCAAGCGATGGAAAGGGGTTCATGTGCTAGAGAGTTCATAGAAAGTTTTCCTCCTTCAGGAGATAATTATGGTAAAGCTATAAATCAACTAAAGTCTCGTTTCGGTAATGACGATATGATTATCGACTACTATGTAAGAGAATTGCTACAATTAGTCGTATCGAAAAATGTTTCGAAAATTTCTACAAGGCAGCTATATGATAAAATAATGACATACATATTAGCTTTAGAGAGTCTCGGCCTTGTAAAAGATAAATATGCAACCTTCTTGTATCCATTGGTAGAGTCCGCATTACCAAATGACACATTACGAGCATGGCATAGATCACGTTGTCAATCAGTTGATAAGTCTCTGTCAAAATTGTTAGAATTTATAAGACTAGAAGTCGAATCTGAGGAAAGAATACAATTAGCTCATATAGATGTAAAAGAAGGGCATTGTTCTACGGCAGCTTGTTTAATATCATCTTCTAAAAAAATTGAACAGAAAAAAGACACCGACAGATCTACCAAAATAGAAAATAATTGCGTTTGGTGTGACAAAGGCTACCATACAAGTTCAGAGTGCAAGATTGCTATGAAATTAAATTTAGAAGAAAGAAAGGAGTTTTTGAAAAAGAATAAGATTTGTTTTATTTGTTTGAAAAAAGGGCATATGTTAAAGCAATGTCGAAAAAGTCCAAAATGCGTAATTTGTGGCAAAAGACATCACGCACTGATGTGCAATGATTTACCGTCGTCTTCGAGTGCTCCAGCAGTGTTAAGCCAAGTAGAGGCGAACAAAACTGTATTGCTGCAAACGATAAAAGTTAAAATTTTTAATGGTAACAAGAATATGCAAATAAGAGCAGTTTTAGATTCCGGAGCACAACGAAGTTTCATTAAAAAAGATATTGCAGAGAAAATGTCTTTATTACCTGTTGGAGAGTTATCATTGACACATAACGTATTTGGCGGTATAACAAAGAAACGTCTAAGTAAATTATATGATGTAAATATTAGTAATTTAGATGGATCTTACGTATGTGTTTTGAAGACCATAGAGCAACCAGAAATATGTGGTTACATACCGACTTTGAGAGACAATAAAATAATAAATGACTTAAAAAATAAAGGTATAGTACTTACGGACTGTATAGATGAACAATCTAATATTAGTTTATTAATCGGCAATGATTTTTTAGGTTCTTTATTGACGGGGCGGTCAGAACGCGTGGATGACAATCTTATTGCGATGGAAACCAAACTTGGTTGGACCCTTCAAGGACCGGCGGTCAGTGTTTATTGCTCCTTAGATAATATAACCACTTTACATGCTTCGTTGTCCTATAATATCGAAAATTTTTGGGATTTAGAAACATTGGGAATCAAAGATGAGGCAGAGGTAAAGAGGTTGAAAGTTTTAGAATCAGAAGCCGAAACATTTTTTAGAAACACTATACAGACTGATAGTGAAGGTAGGTATGAAGTGAGATTACCTTGGAAAGAGTTGTACACAGATTTAGATACGAACTATTATTCATCTTTAAAACGGCTTCAATCTACCACCAATAGATTAGTTAAATTAGGTATATTGGATGAGTACAATAAGTCTTTGAAGAGTGGTTAGAGTCTGGTATAATTGAAGAAGTGGAAGATGACAATTGTAGTATAGGGCATTATATGCCACATCATGCTGTTATAAAAGAGGAAAGCTTAACTACCAAAATCAGACCCGTGTTTGATGCTTCAGCTTTAGAGGGGTCTAAAAGCAAAAACGCCACTGTCCATTTCAGGTCAAAATAGAACTATGAATGCCATCTCGTGTATTTTTTATGAATTAATAATGTGGCACAATCAAATGACATGCAATGTTGCCACTGTCCCATAGAAAACAGGATAAAAATATCAAATTCATATTCAAAACCGACACTGTCCTATACACTTTCAACTTCAAAACTGCCACGGTCCAATGCAGCCAATCAGAGGGCGGCATTTCAATTTCGACAATATGGCCGCTCCTCAGTTTTAGTATTGTTGTTGCTGTTAAATTGTTTCGCTTTTAAAAGGTATTTTGCGTTAATATGGAAGAAAATGTGCGTGCAGTTGATTGCCGAAAGGCAAGGAAGAAACCAAGAATACCAGAAAACTGGAAAAGGGCTAAGGAAAAAGTAGAAAGGTTAGTCTAAAAACAACTTACTTTTTTGGTTAGAAGGATGAAAGTACAGTCAGCATCTATAGAAGTATTTAGTAATTCTTTAAGGAAAGGAAGTTTTATTAATAAGTATCTACCTAACACGGTAATTTTACAGTATGAAGTAAACATTAAACCATCCAAGAATAAAAATACATACAATGTAATAATATAAAGACTTTTTAGGGTTCCGTACCCAATGGGTGAATACGGGACCCTATTAAGACTTCGCTGTCTGTCACCAGGCTGTATCTTGTGAACCGGGTTAGCTAGAAAGTTGAAATTTTGACAAATGATGTAGCTGTTCCTGTTGCATTTTTTCCTGTTGCGTATTCCCGATATGTTTTTTTATAAAGAGTAATGGCTCTTGACCCCAGTCTTGGCCAACGTAGAGCGATGACGAAGTTGACGATGGAACGAGTTTTCCTGAAAGATGGCTATTTATTCCCTCTTTGAATGAGATCCGGAAATATAGACAATGGTATATAATTCCAATTCTTTAATAGAATGACAGATTTAAAAATTTTCACTGTGCATGCATTTCCTATAAATTTTTGACAAGCAGTTTTGTTCTCTTATTTTAAGGTATTCAGCAAAGCAATTGCCGTCAGCACCGCAATGCAATCACGCCAATTCATCTCAATACAAATGTGGTTCTTTATCGATGCAAGATATGCAACAATTTCACGAACAGTTTTATAAATATCCAATTAAAAAGGACCAGGATGCGTTTATTTTAAAACATTGTAAAATACAAAAAACAAAACGACGTCGTCCGAGGAAAGGCATCCGAAAACCGACAGAAATCTACACAAAATTGTATGTCAGAAAAAAAAATTCCGCAAAACTGATACCAGTGTGTCAAAAAACATTCCTGGGTATTCTTCAAATAACTGTCCATAGAGTTCGAAGAGTGGCAAAAGAATTTGCCAAATCAGGTACAGTTGTACAAGAAAAAAGAGGCGGTGACCACAGGTCCACCCAAAATGAACCCAAGCTTAGAGCTGTACGGACATTCATAGAAACCTTTAAATGTGTTGAATCCCATTACTGTAGATCAAGTACAATGATCAGAAAATATTTACCAGCTGAACTTAACATTAAGAAGATGTGGAGAATGTACCAACACCAATGTCAAGATGAAAACCTACTAGTACGACACTGTTATTTCCGGAGAGTCTTTAATAGGCACTATAATTTGGGATTTGGCACACCTCGTACTGATACATGTTCAAAATGTACCGAATTACTAGAAAAGATAAAAAACTCACGAGATCAATCGGAAAAATCAAAACTTATGGCTGAAAAAAGAGTCCATTCACTTAAAGCACAATATTTCTATCGCTTATTGAAAGAAAAAGCAGACAATATGATAACGCTATCTTTCGATTGTCAGAAGAATCAGGTTCTTCCAAAAATTTCTGAGCAAACGGCATATTATAGTCGTCAGCTCTATATTTATAATTTTGGCACTGTGCTGTCAATTCCAGACAATACGCTAAACAAAAATAATGTTTTTTTGT